TGTCAGTGTCTAGATCTGTTCTCACATACAGATTATTCTTTTTGGTGGGGAAGGGCATGGGTTCATAACTAGCACAGACTGCCGCATTTTTAGAGACCCAAAGTGATATTTCTGAATGTTCTTTAGGCAATATGATATACCAAGAATTTCTGGACTTTTCTTGATTTCTCACAAATTCGTTATCATTTTGTTTACTTCCAACATCATTGAGAACCAACTTTCTTTAAAAAATTATGTTTTTAAAAGCATTAAGCAGCATATTATACATTTTCCTCTTGAAGTGCTACCTAGCTTAGGATCAGGAGTGGATGGAAAAAGCAGGTGGGTGGGTTTGGTATTGGCTGGATGCATAGGTTGGAAGAGAGACAGTGTTGTGAAGTGGTTTGAGCATGGGTTTTGGAGTTGTACAGGCTGTGTGAGTAACTTTGGGCAACTACCTTCATCTCTCCAAACCCTATTTTGCTCATCTATAAAATGGAGCTAATAATAATATTTAATCTATCTCATAAAATTGTTGTGAGAATTTAAAAAGATGACTGCAAGTAAGGTGCTTATTAGTATTATGCCTAGCAATAGTATATTTGATACTATTTTTATTGTTAGGAGGAGAATTGAAGAAGCAAGGTCATTAGTAGGGACTGTAATTGAAGTAATAGTCGGGATGTTCAGGCTGGTAAGTAAGAAAGTAAAACTAGGAGGAATATTAGAAACTAGAGAATCAGAAACAGTTGAAGGATTAGGAATGTGATAAGAATAACAAATATATTTATCAATGCAAAAATAGATAGATAAGGATTTATGGGCAGCAAATGGGATCAGAGTTTGAGATTCTAGAGATGGAACATTTCCAGGTAATGATTGATACAACTTTTGAAAATGGTTGTTGATATAGAGACAAATTGAAGTTAAATAAAAAATTTATGGAACATTTTCTGTGTTCTAGTTCCTGTGCTAAGCATTGGAGAATGTAAAATTTGGATGAAACATTGTTGGATTAGAGGGAATCAAAAGTAGCTCTTAGTTATCATGACAGTGGCAGGAGCTGGGATGACAATGAAGACTACACATTTTTTTATTATCATAAAAAATGCTTGAGTGGGTTGACTTTTTTTTTTTTGGTTTAAGATATTACTATAAATGGCTCTTTAAAATAGGCGCATCTCCCAATGGGAATAAAATAATTAGTGACATTAATTTAGAATTTAAAAGACAGCTGTCCTAAATTCATTTATCTAACTAGTCTTTTTCCCCCTTCCTCTTTCCTTTTTAGTCACTAGTGCTCAGAGTAGATGATTCACCCAGTTCTTCCTGGTTTTAGAGGAATGGTTGGGAGTGGGCTTGTGTCTGTCTGTTTCTGAGTCAGTGTCTTAGGAAAGGAGCATGTCCCAGAGAAAGCAGAATCGGGCAACAGGGAGCAGCTCAGAGGGTTAGCCAGGATGCTTGTTCCTGGCGCCTTTCAGTTGAAAGCTGTAGATTTTGAAGTCTAAAAAGCTTATTTTATAAAAATATACAATAATAAAAGCATAGTATGCTCATTAGACCGGACGACCTTCCAGATGAAGCCAGGGCTGCAGCCGCAGGAGAGAGGAAGCTAATGCGGCTGTGAGGAAGGGATCCAGACAGCGGCGGCTCTGAAGGCCTACTCTTGCACTAATTTTGTGCTCCAGGCTTCCAGTAAAACATAAAATAACATACTATATAAATAAAATATTGATTATACATTTATTTTAAAATTACATATACCATATCCAATAGCAATGACATGAATTTTATATTGTTGACTTAAACCAATGCTGATTGTTTTGGGATTTCTTCCATTTAGTGGTTGGTGGCATAGGTTCACACATATTTGGCTTATTTATACCCATTGGGACCAAAGTCAGCAGAGATAACAGCAGGCACACAGCACCCAAGAAATTCCGGGTATGCACGCTTAGTGCCCTACTTTAACGTACAGCCACGTGTGCTCTTTTGTCTGATAAACAACCCTGTCCCAGCGCCTCCTCTAGATGCATTTATGTCGGCTGTGTTGTTCCACCTCTGCTAACTGTATTTGCCATATCACCTTGAACATCATTATGAAGGGGAGACCTGTTGCCAGGAAAAGCCAAAGTAGTGAATGCATGCAGTCGATGTCAGATGGGCCTTCTGCAATTTTAAAGAAAAGCTTTTGATATCTCTGTCTTTGCTACCAGTCTTGTGCCTTCTGTAAATCCTTGGTTATGAGACTTCTGTAAATCCTTGGTTACGAGACTTCTGCTAGTCTTCAGCTAGTCTTCAGGTGGTTATTCAGGTTGAATGTTCTGTAATTTAATTACAGCGTTGTCCTAAGAGGCGGTGAGTGTAATTTCCACCTACTCTGCTGCCATCTTGGATCCTTCTAGATTGTGTTTGTCGATAGAGAGTATGGTGATTGCAGTTTAGATTCATTGCTTTTATTTTTTCAAGTTCTGTTTACAGTAAGCATCATCACTTATCAGTTGTTATTTGCTCTTCTAATATCTGATTACTGTTAAAGTTTAAAGCCAGTCTGATTTTGTTTCTATTACAAGTAACTTGCTCATTTTGCTTGGATGCCCAAAGGATTTTTCTTTTCCTTTGAAGTCCAATAATGTATCTCAGTTCTGTTGGATTGATTTTCTCAGGTATATGGTGTGCTCTTTTGAATCTTTTTTTTTTTTAATTTCAAGAAAGAGTTTTTAATAACATTTTAAAAAGCTTCCTTTGCTTAGGTTTTCTTTTTTAGGGACTTATATTAAAAGTATATTGGGCCTTCTTTACCTGTCTTATATATCACCTTCTCAAACTCTTTTTGATCTTGTATCCTGCCACACTGCTGGACTCACTTCCTGGCATTAATTGTACTGGCTGTTTTGTACATTACAGCTTTATTTCTTCCTTTTCAATCCATAAGCTTCTTATTTCTTTTTATTACCTATCGCACTCGCTCAAACCTCCAACACAATGTTGAATAAGAGTGGAAATGTGAACATCCTTGTCCTGTTCATGATTAGGGAGGAAGCATTCATTCTTTCACTCGTTAGTATGTGTTAGTTTTTCACAGATGTGTGCAGCGGTGGGAACCTAACCCAGTGAGTCATCCATTCATTCATCCTTTAAAAAAATTATTGAATTGATTTTTAGAGAGGGAGGGAGATGGGAGGGAAGAAGGGAGGGAGGAGGGGGGGGAAAGAGGGAGGAAGGGAGGGAGGGAGGGAGGGAGGGAGGGAGGGAGGGAGGGAGGGAGAGAGAGAGAGAGAGAGAGAGAGAGAGAGAGAGAGAGAGAGAGAGAGAGAGAGAAAAGTTTGAACCTTGACTGAGGATCAAATCCACAACCTGGGTATGTGCCCTGGCCGAGACTTGAACCTGCCACGTTTTGGAGTACAGGACATTGTTCCAACTGAGTCACTTGGGCCAGAGCATATCCATCCTTTTAGGAAACATTTACTGATCCACTACTCTAGGCCATACATTGTCATATGAAACAGCGTTGTCAGCAGGGCTCTCGGGGAGAGGCTGTTGTTTGCCTCTTCAGCTTCTGTAGGTGGTCAGCATCCCTGATTGTGGCTGCACCACTCCACTCTCTGTTCTGCGGTCACACTGCCTTCTGGCCTGTGTCTTCTCTGAGTGTCTCCTTTGACACCTGTTCTGGGTCTGAGGTCTACCTGGATAACGCAGAATGGTCTCTGCATCTCAAGGTCCTCTTTCGAATGGAGATGACATCATGAAACCTAGCTTAGGGCAGAGACATACTTATGGGGTGGAGGCACCATTCAACCCCCTACAACTAGTAATTTTATATGCAACTTTAATTTCCTTTTTTCAACCATCTTCCCATCTTGGCATGCGTCCCTTATTTCATTCCCATTCCTTTTTGACTTTTGTCTTTTAAAATATTCACTTAGAGGGTGGTGACAGCAGTGGACTATTCTGCTGCCCGTGGTTCATAGCTGCCTTACCACAACAGAACAAATGCCTTCCTTCATGGTCTGCAGCTTTGTTTCGAATCAGAATCTGCTTCTTAACAGAACGTATAAAACCGAAGCAAATAAATATAAACTTTAAAAACCATAGTGAGGTCTTAACATACATATAATAACAAATAGTTCCATTTGAAGAGCTAAGTGAAAATAATTTTAATTAAAATATATAAATATGGCATCAGCAATTAGTATTTAAATTGGTATCAGAATAGCAGTGCCACATTTACTAGCATCATATACACACTCACACACTCACACACAGACACACACACACACACACATACATACTTCAGGTACTTGGAAATCTTATGTCACTTTATGTTTTTTAAAAATCAAAGAATTTTTTGCATGGAACTGGTTTTTCAGAAGAACCTGAACATCTTTTCTAAAGCATTTAGACCATTAGAGCATTACTGAGATTGTTTTGGTAAAGCTTTAGTGATCTAATGAATAATATGTCAAAAAGATACTGTTCTAGTATACATATGCCCTACTGACCTGTAAGAATGTTGAGTATTTCTTTAAGAAGTTCTGGCAACTCACAGTCAGTCTAGGGCCACAGATAGTAACTTTATTATAACAGAAGGAAGTTGTATGATTCTGTGTAGTTGATTTTGGTGCTATTCCTGTTGTAATGATTATTAATATTTTACCATGTTGAAAATTTTCCATTTATATTTTTTAGATAATATAGTAAATTGGTAAGTCATAGGAAAAAAATGAGGAAGAATTTTAAAGTGTTTAATAATAATATTAAACACTTTCAGACTTAAAAGTTAATCTTGGTTTTATCATGGGCTTAATATTTTCATGCAATGTTATAAGATTTACTTAATGAAATCTCAGATTTGGTTTTATTTTTGTATTTAAGTGATGGTGTTTGAAATTTAACACTTTGTCAAAGTTTTAGTGTTTGTTATTAAAGCAGCGATTTTTCAAATTAATCTACTTTTTATAGTCATAAACTAGGTATTCAGCTTACAATTACAAATTTTAAATTTGTCTTTTCTCTGTAAGTGCTGGTCAAGATATCCAGGGAACAAGTGTGATTGCAAATCTCCCGTTTTTGATGCGACAGAATCCTGCTGAGACACTTCGGAGAGTCTTGCCAAAAGTTAGAGTAAGTTCGTGCAAAATGAGATTTGAATTTACCATTTTTTTTCATTGTCAGGAGAAAACTTCAGAGCTTTTGATGGCTGATCTTTTGTACCTTAATGAGTGGAGAAAGTATTCTGATACACATTTTGTATTGTGATGAAAATATTCAGGGGAATTAGTTGATGGAAGTGATCTTAGTTGAAACAAAGATTTCTGTAGTCATTTTCTGAGTAGAGACATTTTAATGAGGTTATCTTTTCAGTAGCTCAGAAAAATTTTAGTTTTACAAAATCATAGCTGTCTTTTAAAATTTATTTATTTATTATTGACAGTATTACAGATGTCTTCCATTTTTTTTCCCTTTGCCCCCTTTTACCCCCTTCTTCCCACATTATTGTTTGTGTCTGTGGGCTATTTGTATATGCATATATGTTACTTGGTTAATCTATATTATTTATATTAATTGGTATTCTGTTGAGTTAACTTTATATTAATAGTATTCAACAATATTGATAATATATAATTTCACTGATATTCTTAATAATGACCCTGTGGTGTGACTTCTAAAGAATCATCAAATAAAGATTGAATTAGGCCATCACAGTTTTAGTTTTATATTCATTTTATTGCTTCCTAAATTCTTCAGAACTAGTTTTTCTACTATAAACAAAAAATATTTGATCTACTAGAATATTCTTTCCTCTATTTAGTATTTATGAATTATCCTATATAAATAAAAGCCCAATATGCTAAGTGTCCAGTCAACAGGTTGGCCGTTCAGCCAGTCAAAACGTAATCTCATCTAATAAAAGATGAGATTAACTGTCACTCCATCACAAAAGATGGCGGTGCCCATAGCCACAAGATGGCGGCACCCAGTCTTCTCAGCCCCGCTGGAGCCCCCCAGTCCTGGGGAGGTGGCCGCGGAGTGTGGGCAGTGTGAGTGGTTTGCAGGAATGCTCGCTTCATCACCCAGTGACGAGGCGAGCACTCCGCACCCAGTGCGGATGGGCCTCTGGGCCGCGGAGAGCCTCTGGGCAGCAGGTGCGGAGTGGCCTGGCCCTGCAGAGAGTTACTGGCACACAGATTCGTGTGCAGGGCTACTAGTATACTAATGATACGCTAAGGCCTATCACTCACTCACTGTGACATGCGCTAACCACCGGGGGCAGACAGTTGACCAGCCGACCAGTTGCTATGACGTGCACTGACCACCAGGGGTTAGCTTGCTGCTGGGTTCTGGCCGATTGGGACTGAGCGAGATAGGGCTGGACATGCCCTGGAGCCCTTCTGTGGCCCCTCCCCAGCTGGCCAACCTCCCTCCTCTCTTCCCAGCCCCGATTGTGAATTGGTGGGGTTCCTTGGCCTGGCCTGCCCCCTCTTGCAATCCAGGACCCCTTGGAGGATGTTGGAGAGCTGGTTTTGTCCCGATTCTGCAGGCCAGGCCAAGAGATCACACTGTGCATGAATTCATGCACTGGGCCTCTAGTTAATATATAATGTTAAATGTTTAATATGTAAGATTTATTATTTATTTGTGCCTATGTGCCAAATGTGGTTCTTAAGAACTTGAATGAACAAAACAGACAATAATCTATGTGTCTTCATTAAGCTTACCTACTAATGGGGTCAGAGGGGTCACATACTAATGGGGATTATGTTTGCTAATAGTTTTTTGTACTTTACTTTGGCTTTCTGTTTGGTTGTAACTTTTAAATTAATTTACATGTGTTTAAAGTACTGTGATTATTAGTGTGCCTTGCATTTATTTTTAGGCATAGATAGGCATATATAACTGGTTCCAGTTACTATGATTTAAATTAGATGTAGGGATGTACCATGTTATTTTTACAAGACACCCACCCTTCTATCCTGGCAGCATGAGGTTTTTTTTTGTTTTTGTTTTTTTTTCTTGTTACCATGATGAATTGAAATGTTTATTATGTTTATTTTAGCATTGCATGTGATTCAAAAGTGAATCAAGCCTTTTCATACCTATTTTCCCAGAATCATGCTATAATTTAAATGGAATTAAGCCCACATAGTTTAAGTTTAAATTTACATTCTACTTCAGTGATATTAGCTGACCTATGCTTGTTAGCTTAACACTTGGAAATGCCAATTAAACAACATTAGAAGGAGCAGATAGTTAGGTCCTCTTGATTAAGAGTTATTCTAGTTATTCTGGCTGGGTGGCTTGGTAGGTTGGAGTGTTGTCCCAAACACCAAAAGGTTGATGGTTTGATTCCTGGTCAGGGCACATACTTAGGTTGCAGGTTTAATGTGCATATGGGAGGAAACTGATGGATGTTTCTCACATTTATGTTTCTTTCTTAAAAATGAAGTTATTCCATATTAAGTGAATTAGATTTAAGGCTAAAAATATTGAGCATGCTATACACACACTGTGTTGAGCAAGCTAACTAAGGCCCACAGAGGTACTGAATGTCCAAAATTTCATGAAGTAAAAATAAAAAATGAAGGATAGAGAGTAGTGACCTTGAGGTTTCTAAATTATTTTGAAAAAATCATTTTGCTAATGAGGTTACAATAAAGTTAAATAACTTCCCCCAATATTAATTTTATGGAAATGTGTAAAGAATATTATATACTCTTCTATAGAGTATCCTATGTAATAAAAGATTAATATGCAAATTAATCATAACTCTGTGACAAAATGGCGGCACCCATAGACACGAGATGGCAGCGCCCAGTCCTTTCAGCCCTGCCAGAGTCCCCCAGTCCCAGGGAAGGCTGCTACTGAGAGCTGGCAGCATAAGCGGCCTGGCAGAATACTGCCCAGAGGCCCTCCTGACCCTTTATAAAAAACAAAAACAAATCCACTCCCTACAGAGTGATCCCACACACACAGCTGCAGCCTTGGGCCCATACCCCCACAGAGAGACCCCCTCCCAGTGCCAGCCTGGGGTCTCAGCCTGGGAGGAGTGCGCACTCCCACGTAGTGACCCCCTTCCAGTGCCAGCCTGGGGTCTCAACCACTGAGACACACCAGCCAGGAAGATATAAAGGAATCTTAAATGTTTCTTTTAAAAAATATATTTTTTATTGATTTTTTACAGAGAGGAAGGAAAGGGATAGAGAGCTAGAAACATCTATGAGAGAGAAACATTGATCAGCTGCCTTTTGCATCCCCCCTTACTCCCCACTGGGGATGTGCCTGCAACCAAGGTACATGCCTTTGACCAGAATCGAACCTTGGACTCTTGAGTCTGCAGGCTGACGCTCCATCCACTGAGCCAAACCAGTTAGGGATGTCCAATATGTTAAAGGAAAAACCCTACCTAATAAAGAGGGAATATGAAGGGGAGGGCATTTGGGGATGACTGGGCTGTCAGGGGAGGGCGGGTGGGGACAATCAGGCCAGCAGGGGAACAGTTAGTCATAGATCAGGCTGGCAGGAGAGTGGTTAGGGGGTGATCAGGCTGGCAGGCAAAAGCGTTAGGGGCAATCAGGCAGGAAGGTGAGCAGTTGGGAGCCAGCAGTCCGGGATTGTGAAAAGGATGTTCGATCCCACAGAGATCGGGCCTAAACAGGCAGTTGGACATCCCCTGAGGGGTCCCAGATTGGAGAGGGTGCAGGTTGGGCTGAGGGACACCTCCCTCCCCCAGTGCACAAATTTCATGCATTGGGCCTCTAGTATTTATATGAAAATCAAATGTGTCTGCTGAAACTATATAACTGAGTTATAAAGATGACTTTACTAATAACCTTTTAAAGTAATAAAAATTAAACCATAGCATAGTAAACTGAATAAATGAATACTATAAAGAAAATGTATATTAATGAATATATATTAATATACTAAGAAAACCTTTATTTGATGAAATAATTGCATTCATTTTTTTTCTTAAATAAATTTTTATTGTTCATATTATTACAAATCATTCATTTCTTGAGTTAATCAACATGCAGTCCTTTATTTAGGATTCTCATTTATCTTGCCCTGTACTAAAAAATACAAAAAAGATTAATTCAGTCTCCGATTAGATTGTATATCAAGCAGGCATAAAAACTATATGGAAAACAACTGAAGAATAAGCATAGGAGAGTATATGAGTATATAATTGTGTGATTCTGTCTATATTTAAAAATGCTGAAGAATTAAGCAACTGGATAAGACTTAATGGGGGCAATAATAATGAGTGTTAAAGAGGGTTTGCTATATAATGTAGGCAGTTAAACTTTTAAACACCTCACGTCAAATTATAAAACATATGTGCAACTCGTTTTAAAATCATTATATTAAGCTATTGTTAAGAAATATTTATACTTATCGTTAGCACTTTCTTCAGTTCTGCCTTGCTTCTAGGAGTCATTACTTTCAAGTGGTAAAACGACAAAAAAAAAAAAAAAAAAAAAAAAAATCCCGCAGAGCCACTTTTCTCACTTTTGCCATGGACATAATTTCTTAGTTAATCTTACAGAAAGCAATCTTGTACTATAAGTGAGTGAGTGATGATAATGGCACTTTGATTCATACATAAATGTTTACTGAGTGCCTTTCGTGTGCTGGCACTTGCTCTGAGCACTGAGAAAATAGAGGTGATCAAAAGAGGGAACTTGCTCTCAAGCAGGTTACAGTTCAGAGTGGGAAACAGACATAACATAAGCAGGTGAGTGTAAGTTCCGGGAGGAAGTGACAGGGGAGCTGACTGTGCGTTGGGGGGCCAAAGAAAGCCTTGCTGAGGAGCTCTTAAAGCTGAGGACTGGGAGGAAGCAGACTTTTGAAGAGTCAGGAATGAGTGGTCCAGGCGGAGAGAGCAACACAAAGCTCCTAAGATGAAGGAGCTTGGGGGAATTGAAAGAGATATGTTTGTCTGGAACCCAGTGGTCTGAGTGGGTTGTGACTTAAAAAAGACGTTGGAGTGATGGTCAGTGACAGAGCATGCAAGAGTTGTTCTTGCTCAGGACGGTGGGAAATCACTGAAGGCTTTAAGTAGGGCAGTGACTTGCCCATTCACCCTTTACAATGATCATTTTAACTGTGTGTAAGTAGATGGG